CAGAGCAAGGCAGGGAAGGCCGAAGCGCTGAAAGCCTCTCGTCCCGAATCTCCCTGAAGTTTGTAGAGCAGCTGCGAGCCTGCGGGCACGACGCAGCGGGCTGGGGGACCGGCTGGCTCGCCAGCGCCGGGTCCGCAGGCGTGTGCAACAGGCACAACAGGAATGCACACCTGCACCCTGCTCATTAAAGCGATGAGTAAGCAGCTCACAACCGCACCGCCGGGATAAACAGAGGCTGGTAGGGGATGCTCGGCCCCTAATGACAGGCTTCGGCGCCTGCTCTGCTGGGTCCAGCATTGCTGCGGGGTGGCGGAGGCGACCGCTGCCGGAGCGGGTCCCTCCCGGGATGGCTGCGAGGAAAGGGAGTTGATGCTGATCCACAGCCGGCATGGCGGTGCTTTTGGCCGGAGCTTGGTGAGGCTGCACATCCAGCGCTGGCAGCAGCCCCATGGAGGCCTGGCTCAACAGTTGACACCGTGCTTCTGCCTCCAGTGAGGTTTCTTCCCCTGCATCACCCCTGATGGCTCACGGCCCTGGTTTCCCTGCCCCGGTGCCTATAGCTGGCTTTACATCCTGCAGCCAGTGGATTGCAAATCCAGTGCCAGGAGGGACAGAGGGCTTTACACAACGTTTTCTTACGCCATTTGCCCCAGTAACAGGAGGACTAAATGGACTAAATGGACTAAAATTTGCCCAACTGCCACTGGAAGCCTTTAGCAGCATTGCCCTATGCATCCTGGGAGGGTAAAGCCACGCACGGGCTGCCACGCTGCCCAGAGCCCTGCAAAGCTTCCCAGGGGCATCTCAGCTCAGGTGAAAACCAGCCTAATTGACCAGACAAGGTTTTGAGCTTTGCTGCGCCTTTGTTCTGCAGGTGCAGTGTCTGGTTTAGAATAATTAATGGAGACATTTCCTCTCTTAGGCTGCTTTTGAAGTTGTGTCATTACTTTTTCTTAATGAAACATGCAAATCCTGTAAATGCTGCGATTGCATCTCGGGGAATTCAGTCCTGACACAACTCCGGTTGTAAATATCTGACTGGAATGTGATTTAGGGCAGCTCCATCCTCATTACCTTTTTCCTCCTGATTTCTTATTGCTCAGAATATATTTTCCTAGTGCTGGACTGCTGGGAAGCCCACTTGGTAGCAGTCCTTTTTGGCATGCCATGGCAAGAGGGGGAGAGAAAAGGCTGGGTTTTATTAAACAGCGAGGCTGAAGATGATTGCAGCAGTATGGCACGACCTGCTGGATTTGGCAGATCGCTGTGGGAGGGCTTTGACAAGATGAGAAGAAACCTCCCGCCTTGGCCACTGATAGCTCATGGTCCCATTCAATGATGCTGAATTGCATATGCTGAGATCACTTTTCACTGCACTCCTGAAGGCTTTGCTTACACGGGATTTATACCTTCTGCCTCCAAAATAGAAGAAAACTATTCAGTATCAGCATTACACTCCTTCTAGAAAGCTCGTGATCGATAGTGGTATTTCATGGTTTTATTTTTAACTGCAATGCTCGCTGCGTCAGGTTTATAACCTGACAGCAATTTTTTTTTTCCCTTTTTAACTTTCTCAGCGTGCACAAATGCCCCAACCCCTCTGGTGAGGGGCACTGCACTCACGGATGGGCTATCAGCCTTTCCGCACCCCCTGCATGCTGCTGCCGCCTGATTTTGCAGTGATTTGACAGACGACATGTGAGCGAAGAGCCTGCCCGAACGGCTGGTGTAGCCAGATGGCTGAAGACACATGTTGTATGTAACCGCAGCCTGTGCAGAAGGTAAAATGAGCTGAAGGGTTTTTTTAGCCTGCGTGGAGATAGGGCGAGCACGGCCCGGCCATCGGCATCACCTCCTGGACAGCCAGCAGAAAAGTGCCAGCATCGCTCTCCCCCAGCCGCCCAAAAATTCAAGGTGGAAGAGGTAAAAGCCGAACGTTTGCAGGTGAACATTGAGAGGGGACAGGTTACCTTTTAAGGACAACTTGTGCAATTAACAGGCATCGAAGTCTCGCTCCTCTGGCACCGGTAATGCAAAAGTTCAGCCTAACGCTTTCATCGCACAAGTGCTCCCAAATGGCATCTCCGGCCAGCACTGCGGGTGGCGAAAAGCAAGTTTCTCAGTAAAAAAACTAGACCCCGTGCTGCAAGGGGGGATAAATACCCTTTATTCCACACCCTTTTCACAGCACAGGGCAAAGCTCTGAGGATCCCCTGGAGCTTTTAGACTTCCAGCCTTCAAGTATCACCACCCTGGGGCTTTCTTTGCCTAAGCCCATGTGCAACCAATCGCAGATATCTGGAAGGAATCACCAGTATCATTATTCTGCAGACTGTGACAAATTCTTTTATGGTTTAATGAAAAAAACCCCATAAGAAATGAATATTTGCCAAGCCCAGCTGTGCAAGTCAGGCAGATTTTCAAGCATGCACCAGCGTAAAGGTTAAGCACCCGCTAATTCAAGTGTCTTCTACATACAGCAATAAAACTTCTTACGATGTATCCAGGAGCAGCTGCTGCCCTTGCTTAGCAAACGTAACTGTCTTCTAAAATTATTTTCTATTCATAAGACTTAGAGAGAATGATGTTTTCAAGTTAACGTAACTCGGAGCTGACGACTTCTGTCTCTGAAGCTTTTTTTACTGTTTTAATTATAACTGCACTTTAACACTTGCAGTAGAAAACTGCTGAAAATGCATTTCTTGTATTGCAAATGATGCAAAAAATGCCTTTCGCAGATGTTTGATGTCACAGATGTTCAGTACCGCAAAGCTTAACCAAAGTACACCCTAAAAAGGGTGTGACGATAAAAAAAAAAAATCGCTTACACTCGTAACTTTTCAAAGACATGCTGGCCACGGACATGAAGACAGTGCTGATTTCAGTATGATTTCAGCTTTACTGATGTATTTGCAGTCAGTACAACGGAGTCACTCCTACAACACATACACACATATAGCTGATAGACATTTGGATCTTATACCCGAGTTCATAGTTTTTATTAAAGCTCCCCTTTAATGGCCAAGTGAACAAAACAATCCTGCCCACAAACCTGAAGAGGAGCAGCATGTCCCAGAGACGCCTTCGGGCACTGCTGCTTGCTGTTCCCCCTGCCGTCCCCAATACTGAGGTCTATTACCACTGCCCGGTGCTCTTTGCAGAGACACCAAGGGCCCTTTGACTTTCAATATCAATTAGTTCAGTCAGGTTAGGCATCTAGTCGAAGTTCCAAGGTGCTCATCTACTGACTGAATAGTCTGAAAACTCACTTTTAACTCTTCTCTACAGCTATACCCAACCCAGCAGATGCTCCTCTCTGTTCCTACATTAAGTGCAGGAACACAGGCGAAGCAAGCAGCACCCGGAGAAGCCAGCCGACCCGGTAAAGTGTCGCGCACAAATAGGGAATGACTATAAGATACCATTTTTTTTTTTTTTTTAACCATCATGTAGAAATAGAGGTCAGTGGAAGCTGGAGGGCATTTGCCCCAGTTACAAGCAGTCTGTGCTGGATGTGATTTAGCTGATGCTATTAGCCCAGGAGAGACCCAGAAGGCTCTCTTCTATGAAATGCTCCATGAGAATCGCTCTGTGCTCAGATGCAGCATTTGCAGGCCTGGATGTCGGCAGGATTTTGTTTATTTGCTTGTTTTAAAGAAAGGCTTTTTAAGCAGAGTTGAAGTGCGTTCACACCAGAGCAGCTTTAATGGGTACACACAGCAAGAGGAACACTCAGTCTAGCAGGCAGGCACACACCAAACCGCAGCGTGCATTTTGTAACATCATCCGGGCAGGCTCAGGGGCTGTTTGTTTTTCCCCTTTGTCTTAAAACACAATTTGGCAGCCCTTGGTGGCCAATCCATCCCCTGGACTGTGCAGCTCCCTGCCCAGGAGAAGCAGCAGCTGCCCTTACAAAGACCTCAGACGGTCTTTTAATTCGGCAGCGATTTAATTGCAGCTCTTACTCCAGGACAGTTTCAAAGAAGACAGCTCAAGGGTCCTGACTACAAAGAGCTTTGGAGCGGGCATTTTGACAATAAACTGTTCTCACCATTGTTCAGGCTCCCCCTTTCCAAAAGCAATGACTCAACTCCACCAGGACTGGCAGGGAGCCTCCAGCTTCTCAAAAACTGGGTAATGAGATTACGGGAGCAGCTCGCAAGGCTTTTGCTCTTCGCTGCAAAAGAAACCTCTGCTCTGTAAGAACTTCGAGTGCTTCTTTGGGGCCTTCTGATTAAGAGCATCTCTTGAGGGATGGGTTGGAGACCGTCCGGTAGGAAGCCCAGGGTATCTCAGGTGAAAAACTAGAGGGACAAAATACGAATCCAAGAGGAACATGTACAATTCTAAACCCCTCTTGGATAATAAGTTATTACTCTTCAGATACCAAGTAATGATAAATGAAAGGCAAAAAGCTTGCGTTTTACCATTTTATGGTGGCTCCACAAGCAGAGAAATAACATTATATATTTGCTAAGAGCAAATATACAGATTGTAATATTTAAGAATGTGTTTGCTCCAAGCTGTTTATAGAGTCAGAAATAATTTTCTCTGAGAAAATGTGTGTGGTATTTAATCCTGTAAAGACTTAGGCTAGGATGTGCCTCCTCTCTGAGAGGAGAGGACACTTCTCTGCAGCTTTCATTCCTCCTTGCACAGAAGATGGTCCAATAATGGGATGTGGTCCTAGAGGGGCATCAAAATTTGTCTCTGCTCATGCAGTAGCGGTTGACGAGGGAGGAGTAGGAATGAGGAAAAACACAAGCAAACCCCTTGAGTCTAAAAGTAAATTTAAAAGATTGTACTGACGAGGACTCCAGGGCTTGTCAAAGTGAAGGTTGCCACCCCTACATCAGCACCACCAGTTCCCTTGAAAAGACCAGCCTTATGGCTCCCGCATGTATTTATGCTGAGATTTACTAACCGCAGTTATACAACATGAACTTCAGGACTCATCTCCTTGAGATATTTATTTTAATTAAAAACAAACTGTTTGGGAAACACAATACATATTTCCCTCTACATTTCCCTCCATCTAGTTTCAGAAGAGCAATTCTACGGGATACAAACAGTCCTAGGCACCGCGCAGCGTATTAGACGATGTTTAAACCTCACACCCAGCAATACAGTCTTAACTCCAGTAAAGCAGAGCAGGAATAAGTTTGCATTTACGAAAAATGTAACTGAGTTACACGGAGGCTTCCAAGAAGGACTTAGATGGGAATTAGCTTGAGTTTAAAAGCTAGAGAAGTAAAAAAGCAAGTACACAAATCAAAGTACACAGTTCTTCACAGTTATCTCAGAGGCAATGAGAATGGTGGTTGAAGAAAATCAGCTCCAGAGAGCAGCTTCTCACTAGGTGGAAAATGCCAAAATATCCAGTTTCAGCACCTAAAGGCTACACAGGGGGAGAACTACTCTACCAGGATCGTATCAACACTTTCTTGGATGAGATCTGACTCCAGTATACATTCGTCTAAGTGGTCTTGGGATAAACTGGAGCTCTTCCCCATGCTCTCACTGTCACAGTAAGGACGAAACCTGGGGGTCACGGGGCTCTCCAGCCGCTGGCAGCGGCTGTACTTGTGCTGTTTCCCCCTGTGCGTGTACATGTGCTCGAGCAGCTGGCTCTTCCGGAAAAACGTGCGGCCACAGACGGTGCAACTGATTTTTCTCTTTCTCGAGAAAGAAAAGTTACAGTTCAACTCTACCGGTTCGTGGTCCTTGGAGATGAGGGAGAGCTGGCCGATCTGCAGAGGCTCCAGGTCGCTGCAGCTCGGATGCTCCAGCTGATGCTCGTCCTCCTTGAGGAGGAAGGCCCCCAGCCGGTGGCCATCCCCAGCCTCCCTGTCCTCAGCCAGAGGCTGCACCTCCCCCAGGTCGCTGCTCTCCAGGATGGAGGCCGGCACGCCGAACGGCAGCGAGCCCGAGACGTGGGTGTGCAAGTGCTCCCGCAGCCCCCCTCGGGAGTCAAAACGCTCCCCGCAGTAGTGACACAAGTGCACCTTGAGGCTGGCCTTAGCAAAGATGGGGCTTGCTACCTCCGGAGAAGGAGGGGTGCAGCTCTGGGACACCACAGGCTCCGAGTCGCACCTCTCCTGCTTTATGGAGACCGAGAGCTTCGGATGCTCTTCCGCTGGCTTGGCGAGAGCAGGGGGCTGAGCAGAGGGGCAAGCGACCTGCTGGTCAAGGGAGCTGTCGTCCAGGCCGATGGCCAGAGAGAGCTGCAGCTGCGGGTGATCGCCCTGGGCAGCAGACCTGCTGCCCGCCTTGGGCAGACTCTCCTTCACTCCCAGGCGTTCCTTCGCCGGTTTGTGTGTGGTCGAGATCTGGATCCCGTACAAGTTTGAAGACTGGACCGGCTCTGGGGAGAATACTTGGTTCATCTCGATCGCGATATGGGAGAGGTGGTCTGCGTGGAGAAAGCGGATGCCCTCCTCCAGTCGGCTCTGGCTGACGGTCTGCTTTGGCCCTTTCCCGGTGTACATGATATGCAACAAGTAACTAAATATGTCAGGCTGGATGTCTGTGGGCTGAATCTTTATGCATTCGCTGAAACAAGACAGATGATTAAGTACATACAGGGCTCCAAATTACAGTCCTGATCCATTACCTGCCCATTCATTTGCTCCGCCGTTTGCTGTTAGAGCGTGTGTGCTGCTGCCTGCCTCCCAGTTCATGACGAGCAGCGCTCCCCGCCAAGACCTGCAGAGGTGCATGTGCCCTGTTTGCACAGCAAAGTGCCTGAGCGTGTGTTTATCCCTGTGATTATAAAGACCGTGAGCACAACCGCAGCCAGGAATGGTGAGAGTGGCCAGCTCCCAGTCAGCCCGTCACTCGCACGCATAGGCAATTGCCACCGCACGGCACCGCAGCGATGCCATGCAAGCTACACGTCGCCAGTGTGTGCCACTCCAATAATACAAGGCAAAGAATATTTGTGTGTTTAAGTAATAAATTCAGCTGCTGCTACGGTGTAATCTTTATGAGCTTTGCACTTAAGTGTCAGTAAACAACATCTATCAGAAAGGAAGTTAACTGATCTTCTCACTTCCAGCCAAAGGGCTACGCGGCTGATGGCTAACGATTACCCTGCAAAGGTGCTGGGGGCCACGACCCTCAAAAAGGAAAGAGAATGGAGAAGGGTTTAATCGATTACAAGCAGCAAGCTCCAGCTCAGAGGCGAGATTAGACCTTGGCACCGCCGTCGTTATACCTGCAGAACCACTCCTGACCCGGCCGGGTGAAGCATCTGAACAGCAGCTTGAAATAAATCGATGATCTCAGTCTCGGCCCTTATCTGCAAGAGTCTGAAGCGCAGAACTGCGATAAGGCTATGGCTTCTCGATTGCTTCAAGCCCATGGATCCTGCCAGAAGGGATAGTCCCACCCAGCAAGCTTGCCTAGAAGCTAATGCAAAGCAATGGACACGCTGCGTGTGGGCAGGAGGTACCTGTACATCCCTAGATTGCAAATCTGTGAGGTCTCACTGCAGGAGGACTGTAGTACTTACATGTTTATTTTCTCTGGTCGCCCAAAGGTCTCATCTTCAAAATGCGGGGCCCGATGTTTGTATATGCTGACTAAGAGGGTGGTTTTAAAGGACAGCACATTCTGGACTGGGAATGTTTAGAAAGCAGAGGCGTGTGCTGGGTTAGGAAAATAATCTCAGGCCATCTAACATCCCCATTTATGCTTTTAGACTATAATACCTTTAGAAAGGGGAAAAAGCAGAAAGTTGAACAGAGCCGTTAAAAGGTAGGAGGAGAGCTGCGTGTCCTTACCTTGTCTGATGAATAAATATCATCTTAAAATAGTTTGAAAAAGCAGCGAGCACCGCTCTGTGGGCTTTGAAGTAAACATCTCCAATGGCAACTGTGCAGTCACACAGAAAGCCAAACTCCCGCTGCATGTTCAGCTGCTGGAGGAGGAGGACGCTGTGGCCGGTCGTATCCATGGCGTGCCTGAGAGCAAGAGAACAAGATGTTCATCTCAGGAAGAAATCACAGAGCTCCCAAAGCCTCAAATGCGGGTTTCTCACCACTGAAAGGAGACGGGCGCCCGGCACGGAGCACGGCCTCGCAGAGCCTCTTCCAGGCGCTCCCTGCACCCCGATTTAATAATTTCTCCTACCGATACCACCGCCAGTGCCCAAACCCACGCTCAATGGGCTCAAAGCCTACCCGGGACTTCTCGATGTGCCAGCTACAAGCAAAGCTGTTTCTCCTACAAATTTACTACGCTCCGTGGTGTATCGGCACTAACTTTAAAACACCGCTCGCGTTTTTGCTCTGACCTCGGGTCGTGCTTTCCACTGCACCACTAACCGCGCTGGCCACCGGTACCGTCCCACAGTAATAATGTTAGATCTCTACCAAACAGCTACGCTGGGGACACTATTACACCTAGCTCAGGTACTAAAGCAAAAGAAAACTGTGGCTTTGGGTGAGGGCCTGAAATCTATCTCTGATGTTGGAACATCCTGGGATGGATCTGTCCGTCCTTCTGCCCTAAGAGGTGTGACACTTTGCACTGGAACCACGGACTGCTGTGGCTATGACCCTTGAAGCTGCCAGCTGTGGCGCAGGCTGGAGTGGCCGGGGGGG